CCCCTTCATGAAGCTGGGGGAACAAAGCTAGCACGTCTTAGGCCAGAGCTCTACTTAGCAGAACTCTCCAGAGCCCTGGAGAGGGTGCTGATAATTCCATGGAAATGCAGGCACAGTCTGCCCAGTTGGCTCGGCGGCGGCGGCGGAGTGGCTGGAGCTGCGGCGCTAGCGGGCCGCACGGCGGGACGCGGGGAGCGGCGGCGGCCGAGCGGGAGCAACATGGCGCCGGCGGGCGGGGGTGGGCGCCTGGGCGGTGGGCCGGTCCGAGGGCGCCTTCTCCTGGCGGCGCTGGTGCTGCTGGTGCTGCTGTGGACGCGGGGGGCCCGGGGCCAGGGCGACCCTCAGCGGGGCGCGATCTTGGGCATGCGGCTGGCGAGCTGCAACAAATCGTGTGGGATGAACCCGGATGGCATCATCTTCGTGTCCGAGGGCAGCACGGTGAACCTGAGGCTGTACGGCCACAGGCTGGGCTCCATCTCCAGCAACCTGATCTCCTTCACCGAGGTGGACAACTCCGAGGCCCCCCACAACTCCACGCACTGCCCCGAGTTGACCAAGGACCTGGTCGTCCAGCAGCTGGTCAACGTGAGCCGCGGGAACACGTCCGGGATGCTGGTGGTGCTCACCAAGTTCCTCCGGAGGAGCGAGAACATGAAGCTGTACGCGCTGTGCACCCGGGCGGGCGTGGACGGGCCCTGGCAGAGATGGATGGACAAGGACTCGCTGCTCTTCATGGTGGAGGAGGAGGGGCGCTTCCTGCCCCTCTGGCTGCACATCCTTCTCATTTTGGTGCTGCTAGTGCTGTCCGGCATCTTCTCTGGCCTCAACCTGGGGCTTATGGCCCTGGACCCCATGGAGCTGCGCATTGTGCAGAACTGTGGCACCGAGAAGGAGCGGCGCTATGCTCGCAAGATCGAGCCCATCCGGCGCAAGGGCAACTACCTGCTCTGCTCGCTACTCCTGGGAAACGTGCTGGTCAACACCTCCCTGACCATCCTTCTGGACAACCTCATCGGGTCCGGGCTCATGGCCGTGGCCTCCTCCACCATCGGCATTGTCATCTTTGGGGAGATTGTCCCTCAGTCCCTGTGCTCCCGACACGGTCTGGCTGTGGGTGCCAACACCATCATTCTCACTAAATTCTTTATGCTACTCACCTTCCCCCTCAGCTACCCCATCAGCAAGCTCCTGGACTTTGTCCTGGGCCAGGAGATTCGCACCGTTTACAATCGGGAGAAGCTGATGGAGATGTTGAAGGTGACGGAGCCCTATAATGACCTTGTGAAAGAGGAGCTCAATATGATCCAGGGGGCCTTGGAACTGCGGACCAAAACCGTGGAGGACATCATGACCCAGCTCCACGACTGCTTCATGATCCGCAGCGATGCCATCCTGGACTTCAACACCATGTCCGAGATCATGGAGAGCGGCTATACACGCATCCCTGTATTTGAAGACGAGCAGTCCAATATCGTAGATATTCTCTATGTCAAAGACTTGGCCTTTGTGGACCCCGATGACTGCACCCCCCTCAAGACGATCACCCGCTTCTACAACCACCCAGTGCACTTTGTCTTCCATGACACCAAGCTGGACGCCATGCTGGAGGAGTTCAAGAAGGGTAAGGCCTGAGCTGCTGTCCGGCTGCGTGTGGTCACGCCTCTGGCCAGTTTAGTGTGTGACAACCCTAGTGTTCCTTCCCTGGGACTCTGTCCATTTGCCCATCACTTCTAGGCCTCTGAGGTGAATGGTATTTGGGGCAGCCTTTGCTGTCTGCCAGGTCCTGTGCTTTGCTTCAGGTGAATCAGAGCTCAGCAAGGCCTCAGGGAGCCATCGACACAGGACAGATGGAGGCAGATGTCTTAAGGAGGCCAGCACAGGGGCACCAAGATTAGATTGCAAGTCTGATTGGGGTGTGGTGGGGAAGAGGGGGAACTGCGAAAACCTTCTCCTGGGCCAGAGTGCTGAGAAGAGCCTTAAAAAGTGGGGAGACTTGGTACTTAAGATAGAGGGAACCCCAGGGGAAGAGAACCTGAGTGGGGGCAAAGTGTGTGCTTGTGGCCCAGCAGGGGTGATAGACTGTGCAGGTCACTGGTCAGTGGGGAGAGACTGAGTCATTTAGGGCCTTGGGAAGAGCCTGAAAGTCAGGAGGGTAAGTGTGCTAGGAGCTGGGAGCTATGGAAGGTTTGTGAGCAGGGGAGTGACGTCACCGGAGCTCCTAGCCCACAGAAGCCAATTGGGAGCTCTCCGGATTGTGCCAAGTACTGCTTTTGACTCTTCAGCAGAAGCAGGCAGATTAAGTTTTGGTTATTGTTCTGCCTTTCCCAGGCGCCAAACATAAGCTTTCCTCCTGTGGTCTGCTGGAATCTTCAGCTGGCTTTTCGTCCCCTGTATTTTTTTCTCGCATGGCTTCTTGGCCTGTTCTCAGGTCATCAGGTACTTGGAGGGTTTACTCACCAGCCTGAGAGCTCAGGGCACACACACCTTTCCTTCTTCCAACAAACTTTCCTCCCACCTTTGCCACTCCAAGCCCTCAGAGTGGCAGTAAACAAGCCAATTATGAAGTAAAACCCTCCTAGGCCACAGGCAGTGAGTGAGGAGGCAGAAAGGGAGGCTCTTTGTGAAGGAATGGGGGAGGGGAAGAACGCATCCTAAACCTAGGACTTGGCTTGTTTCCGGTAGGTAGGGCTTCTGCTGGCTACCTCCCAGGCCACCTAGGGCCACGAGCAACTTCTTCGCCCCACCTAGCTGGGAGCAAGCCCAGACCCTTGTCAGTCGCTTCTGAAACACAGGATGCAGGGGAGCCTGAAACTGGAGGGGTCAGTGGGGTATGGAGGAGCTGGCCTGGCCAGGTTTGGTCTGAAAAGATGCTTGGGTTAGGCCGGAGTGGGGATTGGTACCTACCTTTTCCAGTTTGACAGACTGCATCTTAGCACCAGATTCGAGGAGGACTTGAGTGATGTAAGCCCCAGTGGAGACTGAAGGGGGAGCAGAGGGATGGAGACAGCTGGTGTTGATGGCACCACCTCCCGGGAGCTTTGGGTTGCAGACCCCAGAACTGTTTCTTCCAGGTTCCCTGAGCCTGGGACAGAAGAGCAGTGAGGCTCTGTTCCCCACCCCTACCCTGCAGCCTCTGGGTCTTGAGGACTTCTCTGTCTTTGATCCGGAACCTGGTTAGAACTCACCAGGGCTGCTTCTGCCTGCCTACCCCTAAGGTCTTTGGGACTGTTGCTGGTGATCCACCCTACAAGCATGTTTGCATCATTCAGCCCAGCTCGGATCCAGCTAGAGTGGATGGGTCTGGCCAGGCTTCCCGGGCCCTGATCAGCCGGGCTGAGCTCTCACAGGGTGGGAGCTTCCTGGGTCTTGCTTGGCAGGGCCATTGTTGGACTCTTTAAAAAAAAAAAAAAAAAGCCCCTTCATGAAGCTGGGGGAACAAAGCTAGCACGTCTTAGGCCAGAGCTCTACTTAGCAGAACTCTCCAGAGCCCTGGAGAGGGTGCTGATAATTCCATGGAAATGCAGGCACAGTCTGCCCAGTGCAGCACAAAGATGTGGGTATGACAGGATGGCCATCCCTAATGAATATACCCTGGGCTTCATGCCTGGTTACCTCCTAGTCTGTCTTCATTTACCCACTGCCATGCTGCCGGCCCCCACCTCCCAGTGTGGCCTCTCCCAGATCTTCCCATCTGGCATCTACCTTTTTAGTCTGAGGCCATCTAGGACGTGGCAGACACGTAGTGTACACCTGCAATTTAAGAGATTTTCTTTACAAATCTGGTGTTCGCAAGACTTTTTTTTTTTTTTTTTGCTAAGAAAAACAAGTGAGCACAGTTAATGCAGCCAGCATTGTCAGCACCATCAGAATCAGCTGGGGTGCTTTCCGTGGACCCTTCAGCACCTCCAAGTTGTGAGGCCCTGAGCTCTGCCAGTCTTGTAAGTTCGCTTTGTCTCCTCCTGGCTCCCCAGGATTTTATAAGGTCCTTGAGGGTAGGGATCCTGCTCCACTTGTGTTTTCACCACTCAGTGCATGGCAAGGAGAGGAACAGTAGGTGCTGACACACAGTGAGTGAGTCAAAGAATGGATGGATGAATGGATGGATAAAGGAACGGTGAATGGACAGTGACTGTCTGGCAAGCCCTACTGGTGTTCTTGCTGTTCCTTGAACGCACCCTAGGGCTCCCAGTCTGGGACCTTTGCCCTGCTCTTCCCTCAGCCTGGAATGTTCTCCCCAGGTGTTCTCCCTCACTCTCCACTCCCTCATGTCTGCTGCACCTTCACCAAGAAGGTGAGGCCTTCCTGTCACTCCATTCATATGGTAACCCCATCCCACCCTGACCTTCCTGATCTCTCCTGCCCCTCGCTGATTTTTCTTTGTCTCCTAGCATGTCTCACTTTCTAATTGCCATGTAATTAATGTTGACTGTTTTGTTTATTGTCATATCCTCCCACTGTAATGTTAAGTTCCAAAGGTCAGGGTCCTCTGTTTTGCTCGCTGATGTGTCCCTAGCCCCTGGAATGGTTCTTGGCACAGAGAAGACCTCAATAAAAAGTGATTGAATGGGTGAATGACCTGTCAGGTTTGAGAGAAAGAGTTATGCCCATTTTAGTAGCGTTAGGATTTTGAGGGGCTGGTAAGGGATAAAGAAAAGTGGGTGCTTGATTTTTCCAGCTGTGCCAAGAAAGATAGGAGGAGCGCCTGCAATGACCTGTGTATTAATGGTTTGGGTCAGGGTCTGAGAAGCAGTCTGGGGTCTTGAGTGTGATGCATAATTCCCCTTCCCCATGCCTCAATTTCTCTGTAAGCGGTCTGTGACCATCAGGAATTAGTGGAAGTCACGAGTATGCTCCTGCACACTTAGAGACGGGCATGTTCCGCTCAACTGAAGCAAGGGGCTGCCAGCTTCCTGCTGCTTCTGCCTCCCAACTAAAGACAGTTATCATTTCGTATTTACTGAACGTTATACTTTGTGTCAGACACTGTACCAGGCACTGCAGGACCTCAGGGAGAGACCCTCCAGTTGGGGAGAGCTGTAAGGGCACTGAAAGAGAGGCTCATGCGGTGTGAACTTTGGTCCTTCCACTTAAACCTCACCTAGAACTGTTTGCTGTGGGGTGTTGTTGTTTGTCTACAGCTGGAAATCTTAGAACAAAAGCTCCCTGGCCTATTCCTGGCCCAGCCACATTTTTCCTGCATGGCAGATGCTCTCCCTGGCCCTGGATGCAAAGTATGAATGAACTCTTCCAGAGGGGTGCAGGAGGTTGGAGGGGTGCGGGAGGTCGTTGAATCCCACCTTCCAGCTTTCCATTGTGCCCCTCCTGTGACATTCCTTCCCTTCCCAGGCATTTAAGCTTCTCTAGTCCTATCTTTCCCCACCCACTTTATAACCTTCTGGCCCCCTGTGAAGAGCTGGGTCTAAACCCAGCTAGGTCACTGACCCACAGGTGACCTGGGACCTATTACTGCTCATAGAAAGTGCGTGGGTTTTATATTGGCAGGGGGAAAAAAGCTAGAAATATTTTAATTAAAAATTCCCATGTTTTCATCTATGCCACATCACATTTCCTCACCTACTTACTTTTATTCCTGAAGCAACTTTGGAAAGTTAACAAAAAAACACTGCATAATTTTGCATTCACTTTTGCTTCCCACCATCTGCCTGCCACACTCAGTATCTTATTTCCCCATTTGCCTCTTCTTTCCTTCCTTCCTTCCTTCCTTCCTTCCTTCCTTCCTTCCTTCCTTCCTTCCTTCCTTCCTTCAACAAGCATCTTGTTTTGAAGCCTGTGTGTTAGACAGACCCTGTGCTCACTGTTGGGGGCCAGAGAGGACTCACAGCCCTGTTCCCAGAACTCCCAGGGAGACAGCCATGTAAACAGCCCAGCTGTGCACCGCTCAGGTCTGTGCCATGGGGCCAGGCCTGTGAGGACTGGTCCTCGGAGATGTCAGGGCCAGCAAGCCGTTGTGAACAGCTGAGGTTTCTGGTTGGGGTTCAGGTTGACGGTGTTGTCGTGTAGCGTAAGTGGGGAGAGGAGGGAGCAGAGCCAGTTTAGTGGTGCTGGGGTGAATAACAATGGTGTGACCCTTTATTGGACTCCTCTGTGCCCAGCCTCGTGCATGCCTGAGCTTCTCACACTTGACCATGCGCCTGGACTGCCTGGGCGTTTTGTTAACATACAGGTTTGTAGTTAGTGGGCTTGGGTGTGGCCTGTGAGGCTGCGTGTCTGACAATCTTAGATGATGCTCACACTTCTGGTCCTGGGCCCCACCGAGCCGCATAGCACAAGGGTGAGCCCATTCTGGCAGGTGAGCAGGTGAAGTGCCGTGTGGGGCCAGGCCCAGGCCCAGAGGTTTGGGATTAGCCGAGAGCAGGCAGAAGCCTGGCCCAAGTGGCTCCTGGAAGGGACAAGAAAGAGCCAGGTGGGCACAGTTTGGGAGGCTGTCCCACAGAGTTCAGGTAGGGTGAGGGCTGAGCACAGACTGTGGCTGGACCACGGAGTCTCAGGTGCTGGGATAGGACAGGCTGCCTCCAGTAGGGGCGAAGGCAGCTGTGCGCCCGATCTCAGACAGCTCCACTCAGAAATGGGCTGGACTGGGCGGTGATTTGATCTCAAGAA